AAGTTGGTGAAAGTATTTAAGAAGTCTGCACCTTCGTGGTATACTACACATTTTACACAAAAGGCTTAAACTTTTTTAAACTATAATATTAGTTTTATGATATTCTATTCGTAAAATTACTAAATATTGAAATTGTATTAATTCGCTTGAAATAATGTCGATCATATTTAGGATGTTGGATCATCATATTAATTGGATGTTTAATGATTATTAAAAGAAGCAGTGGATGACGGAAGAAATTTTAGATTTAATGGAAGATGTCAATATAAGAACAAAGATAATCAGATGTACAATAAAGTGGATAAACAAATAAAATATAGAATTAAGAAAGCGAAAGAACAATGGTTAAAAGAACCATGCGCAGAAATAGAAGAATATACCCGGTTCGCTATTCCCAGTCCGAACTGTCTAGTGATTTTAGTAATTATTTTTTTGCGAAGTTAGTTACTTTTTGACAGACTCGAAGTGGCTGGAAATTACTATACAACCAAGCATACGTGCTCTTAGTCAATATTAATGTAAACAAAAGTAAATAAAATAGAACTTTGCGAATTACCGACAATCAATATTTATTTATTGACACCGTATAATGTATTGATAACAAATAATAAAATTATTTATTGTATAAAATAAAACTATTGGAATAAATTCTACAAAATTAAGAAGTCAAAGTGAGGTTAAATAAGACACAGCAAGTTCCTTATGTTGTGCAGTTCTTTTTCTTATTCCCTTATTTGTCCCATCCTGCCAAGACCTTCTAACTGATCCAGAAGAAAATATCCATGTTTCGTCTAAAAAAAATTAGGGCTTTTTGTAAACGTCTTTTTGGACATTTTCATGGTAAATCCTTAAACAATTATGCCTCATCTCAACTACGGGAGGAACTTCCATGAAATATTTTTGTGGACTGTCTATTTTGTATATGAATCCTATTTTTTTAAGATCAGAAAGAGGCTTGTTTTTCCTCCTTCATAAATAAATTTGTCTCTTAAAACCTTCAGCAGACTAGATATTGTAAGAGGCAACTCTAAAACAATTATTAATTTTTAGGTAGTTTACATATCCAAGTTGGAAATTTTCTCGGAAAGAGTGTCAATATACGAAGCCCTAAAAACTACATAATCGAACAAACTAAAATATATTCAAAATTCAGATAGTTGACAGTTTATGTAATTACTTAATTACTAATAATATAGGTTTAATCAGCAACACAAAACAAAATATATTTACTCTAACAGAATTAATTAATAATATCGAATTTAAAAACTTTAAGTTGGTTGCATACATTTGGCGCAACTTAACGATATAAAGTAAATTAGCCAATCTTTTTTATAAAATATATATTTTTATATATAATAAACACTTACTTTCTTCATACATCCGATAAATTTCTAAACGAATTTGATTTTTGATACTATGATTTAAGTCAGTCGTTAATTTTCTTTTGCGATTTTGCTTCTTTAATGCGAGGGTTGTATAGGCCCATCTTTATATTTCCGCACACTTTTTTCTAAGACTTTCAGACATTTGGATGTCAACTGAAATGTTTCTGTTATTAAGAACATTTGTATAAGTTTAACATTTACATAAGTCGATAAATACATTTTAATGATCAACTTACCTCAACAGGGTTTTCATTCGGCAAATAATTTAAAAAAAAAATGGTAGGCATTTTGAATAAACCTTTGTGCAGTTTTATTACCTTGTAATCTAGGAACAGCATCCTTACTCATATAAAAATATTAACTTTTAAAAAAGATTTTATCATATTTATTAAGAAAAACTTACCGACACATTAGCTGATGGAACAAATGGAAAACTTTGACCATAATAATAAAATTTAAAATATAACTAACTAATTAACTGAATAGAACTAACAAAAGAATTAAACAAAGATAATAAAACAATAAAACTATATTAAATTAAATAAACAACGCGAATAATACAAATATTTACTACAATATTTTAAGTTGTAACAATTCAAATATTATATTTTAAATATACAGGAAAATTTGATGGGTTTAGTATACACTTCCACTATTTAGAATAATTCTTCTTTTTTTCAAAGAAAGAAGTCTGCAATAGTAGTATACTTAAGCTATTAATACTGAGAAGTAGGAATTGTTGTGTTGTAGGTTTCCAACAATGAGTCTGTCAAAATGTGCCCTAGCTAAGCGAATGGAGAATACCAGAAACGACATGATAGTTTTAACTGTTGCAGTATTACTCAATATTTAGTATTTTTATGAATAGAATGTCATATATATTTTATAGGTGGTAAGCATCTCCTTATTTGACACCTACACGAATGTTTTAACCTAAACAAAATATTACATTCAGAAACAAAAACGTTGTTTAAAGAAAAACGAACTCATTTGTTCACCGCTAGATGCAAAACTTTGCATCATGCCTCCATAATAAACAATGATGTACACTAATAAAAATTGTAAAAATATCGAAGTATATTTAGGTTCGGTTTACTTTCTTTTTAAAAAGGAAGGTAAACATTTGATACAATAGTTGTATGGTGACTCTGTTCAATTCGCATTTGCCTTAAAAATAGTTAATATGATTTTTTTTTATTGTGTAAATGTACAGGTAAAGTGTATATATATATATATATATAATATATATATATATATATATATATATATATTATATATATATATATATATATAATAGACTGTTTACTTTTAGAATGTAAAGAGATGTACCATGGAGCTTGAATCAAAAATTATCTGTATATATGTAAAATTTTATTCAATATAATTTTTAGTTGTAAAATTCTGTAGTTTATTTTTACACTAACAAATCTACTATTCCTTTTGTCTTTAAAACCTTTAATAAAATGTCATAACCACACATTTCTTCCGGACATTTCCCCTCCAGTGTAACCCCGTCCAATTTTAAAACTCATAAATTGGATAAAACTGATTCTAAATGGCAATGAAATCAGAGAAATGATAAAAGAGGCAAAACAAACTTGCCATGAGAAAAAATGTAAAGAGATAGAAGCTTTTCCAATCTCCTAAAATTTTGAATAACGTTGGGCCCATAACGGTTTCTTAATATTATTCTGAAGCTATTTTCTTGTGGCATTGTAAATTAATTACTATTTAACTGGGAATAAGCCACAATTAAAGATAAAAATACATTTATTGACGTTTCAATTTCCACTTCGGAAATTGAAAAGACAAACAGTAAATTAAATTTAAATTAAAATATTAAATAATTAAATTAAATATATATACAAACAGTAAATTAAATAATTAAGTTTAATTTACTGTTTGTATTTTGAGAACGATTTCCGAAGTGGAAATTGAAACGTCAATAAACGTATTTTTATCTTTAATTGTGGCTTATTCCCAGTTAAATAGTAATTGAAATAGAAGATCTTCAGAACAAATACGACCTATTCAACCTACATAAAAAGGTTAAAGAAATGCCAGGGTTGCAAAAAAGAAATCACAACACAAGTATTTTAGATAAAAATGGAAATACTATGATAACGACTGACGAAAAGCATCATAAAAAAATTCGGTGCCCAACCAAAACCCCTCAGATAGTAAATCTAGGTGCACTACTGGTTCAGTGGCATTTTCATGGAGTTTTTTCATGTCATTTTTGTATTTCATTGAAGATGCCATAAATTAGGCAACACACTAAACTTTGAGATATAATATATCTCCACAGAATAGAAAAAATCAGTCTTTACTCTTTAGAGAAAAAAAATATTTGATAATTTCATACTTGTTAGGTACGATCTCTTGTTGTACTCTACTATCAAAGAATATATTAATATTTAAAAAAAAGGACATTTTCCGGGAGTAAATATATTAACAATTATTTTTTATTCTGTTTCTTATTCTATTTTTAGTTTTTACTCTATAGTTTAGAAACAAACAGAATCATAGCACAGTATAAATAACAATCATAGTCTTGCCGATTATTACCGATCGCCCCGATTGGAACTGGATTGACAATTTAATTATTGATATCACAGTATATATCATAAATAGTACTGTAAGTAAAATAGGACAAGTGGGGAGAATGAGTTGTATAGGCCCAGCCGTTCATAATGGAGTCGGCGCTACTAGTCACATTAAGTGGAGGTATGACATAACAAGAGGCGTATGACGTTGACGTAGGTGCTGTTGCCATGGTGTTACTAGTTTTACATATTTTTTATCCAAATACTAATTATATACTATACAATGTTTTCCACAAAAAACAAAGATTGTAGCAAATTCTACTAAAATCACAACTTAAATTTACAATAACTTATATCCAAAGAATTTTGGGTTTCCACGAAAAAAAAAAAAATGTGGTAGTGGCAACAGTGTGAGCAACGCGATTGCAAATGCAAATGCGCAAATGGCGTTGTAAAAACATTGACATTATATTCCAAAATTTACAAATAGGAATTAAAAACAGTATACATCAATTTTTATATATCTAATAAACAAAGTTGCCTGTGTTTTATTTTATTGTTTTCGGGACTTTGGTTTGTTAATATAATGGACAACCGATTTTCCTGTACCATAAATAATCTTTGTCACTCTGTCTGATATGTTATATATTTATATAAAAATGCGAAAGTGTATACCACAAACCATACATACAAAGAGTATGTATGGTTTGTGGCGTTTACTATATTTTGGACAGAAAGAATATATATATTTTGGCATAGAATAAGTTTAATTTCTTATTTCATAACTATATTTATTTTCCATTAAAAGAATTTTGCTGTCTTAAATTCAGAGTTTATTTTTTTAATTTGCCGCCTAAAATGAAGAACTTACGTTTAAATTTGCCGCTAAATGAAATTAGTTTGGGCCCTTCCGCATTTAGCGCTAGAAACTCTCTCCTAAATATTTCTATAGGACTTTCCCGACTAGAGGGCTATTCTGGTTGACACTGACAATTCAATTGATAGAAAGCAAGTGTTTTTCAACAAAAAATAAACAATTTCCAAATACATACCTTAATTGTTTCCTAATATGACCACTGTAGATGAACAAACAGTATTCGCTAAATTAGAAGCACTTAAGGATATAAGGTAACCGATAATGTGTAGTTTCACTTTTTGAAAGTTAAAAAAATCAATATTTTTAGAGCAAAAACAATACAACTTGAAAAACTGAAAGCTAGATTATTGTTAGAAATAGACGCTCAAGATCAAGAAGAAAAATGTTTGTCCGAATACAAACAAGAAATGGATTTGCTTCTGCAAGAAAAAATGTCACATGTAGAAGAACTAAGACAAATTCATGCAGACATAAATGCTGTAAGTAGAGAAAAAAGTTTAAATCTTTTCCAAAAAAAGGCAAAAGTTGTTAACAGTAGTTTAATATGTTTGTTGTAGATGGAAGGGGTCATAAAGCAAGCTGAGGAAAGTAGAAACAGATCTATGTCTTCAGCAATTCGTCTTCATGAAGAGTATGTTCCACTGAAAGGAGAAATAGATAGGTTAAGAAGAGATTGTTTAGGCTTAGAACGTCTTCCTGAACTTCATGAAGAGGAGGGTTCCAGTGTAACACCTGAGTAATAAACTTTTATTTGTAATATGAATACCAAATACCCTAGATTTAGTCTAGGGCATTCTAAACAGATTTGAAGACACATTCTCTATTGTATCTCTTGTAGTTTCATTCATCAAGCATTATGATTGTTGTATCACAGCATACTTTAAAAAAACTAATTCAAATTTTCTAAATTAATTTCTTGGGCTTTAATTTAGGGGACTTAATTATTTGGCTTTAGTTTGTAATTAAGTATTTTTCTAATACCTATAAATTATCAGGTGTATTGAAAATTTTCTTTTATTAATTGCAAATTTGTAAAAGATTTAGGAGAGAATATATATTTTTAGAAAGGTAAAAATTTCACTAAAAATCAACTGTTGGGTTTTAGATCTAGTAAATGTTCATCTTTTAATAATTTTTATATTTTAGCATTAATTTGTGTATTTTTCAGGAAATTTTCTCAACTCTACAATTCAACAAAATCACAAACTTCTGTCTTCACTAAAACTGCTGATTGGAATCGACCAATTGGCCACAATGAGAACACCTTGAGTTCCTTAGCACCGCCTTTACCGCCTACTTTTCTGCCGCCTCCAAATCCCCTTAGGCTAGTAGACAAATAAACCAGATGTCACTAGACAGGGAGGATTAGCATCATCGCCACATGCTGGACCTCCTACACCAACCTTCAGGTATAATAAATATATATTTGAATGTTCCTAAAAACAGGAAGCTGGTAATTTTTGTTTTATTACATTAAGGAATGTAGGCTGATGGAGACAATTGTTCTATCTATATTATCTTCATCACCACTTAATTTATCTTACTTTGCCATGCAATATGTTATTCCCTAGTCAAAGATATTGTAATGCCATGTTTTTTTATTTTTTATAGACAACAACCTCCTCCAATGAAGTCGTGCCTGAGCTGTCACCAGCAGATCCACAGAAACGCTCCAATTTGCCCATTGTGTAAAGCAAAGTCCCGATCTCGTAATCCGAAGAAACCGAAGAAGAAAGATATGAACTAGAATGTCTTTGTACTAGATAGTACTACTTAAGTATTTTCGATTAGTTTAAGAATAATAATGAAAAAGAAGAGAGTCAAAACTGTTTAGAAACCACATATGACTTACTAACTGTTTAAAACATTTTTAATTGGACATTCTGCAGATTTTTCACATTTATATTATAATTATTTACACCTAAAATAATAATTTGGCTAGCTCTTCTTTTTCAATATTGTAAAACGACACTATTATGTTAGTTGGCGATATAATTTACAATTATTTCCACGATCAAGTTCATTTAGCTTATAGATTTAAACGTACTTATATAGAATATCCTATTAGGAAATACAAAAACTATTTTTTTAAATTATATTTTTGCTCACGCATCAACTGTGGATGTTCCTGTCTGTTGAAATAATCTACGTATAAGATGTAATAGCTCTCTTTCAGTGTTGTCCATGGCATATTTGAGTGACATAATCTTTTATGGACAGCTAATGCAGTAATTGCACTTTTCTCAAAATTTTACTTACAAATATGTTTTATTTTTCAATATAGACTCTAATGTCAATACAATTCAACCAGCAGTTTTCCAATGCTGTTTTTTCTCTGGAAGGCTGCAAAGCACTCATCAGCACTCACAGCAGTAGTTGTAAGTTCTTCAATTTTGGGAATAGATGGAATCCAAGAGAGGATGTCCTATGTGTGTCTTGCAGTTCCCCATTGCCCAAGATCACTTTTTGTGTGGAAAAGATATTATTGTTCTTCAGGGATATTTGATAAAAGATACGTTTATGACGTTTCACTTTCCACTTCGAAATCCGTTCTCAAAATAAAACGTAAATGAAAACAAATTTTGTTTTTTTTACATATGAAAAATTCTCTAATAATTTAATTTATCTATCATTTATAATGACAATTCAGACATACATTATGCATTTTAAAAGGAAACGTCGTAAAGGATATCCTATAGTGTTGAGTTTGGCCTCCTGACGACTTACATAAAATAGTTCATTCTATTACATGAAATCAACTTTAACTTGAAATATCTGTCTAAAAAAAAAATTATACATTAATTCGCTTTAAAAAACACACAGGACATAAGACTGAAAATTTCTCCGGTTAGTGATTCCATTTAAATTAGTGAGGAATAACCAGGAAAAAAAAAAAACTCTTAATACGTTCCCACATGTAATGTATTTGTCGTGAATGTAGTTTTTACCTCAAAACAAACGCAAATTCTGATTTTATATTTACTTATTTAAAAACATATATGATGTATCCTCTATAATTTACTGACTTACTAAATAATGTATTTTCTTATTAATAACTTCCTCTTTCAATATTGGTAACCAATCCCTACTTCATTCCTCCGAGATTTGCGTCACAAGTTGGCCTCATTGTAGCATAATTAGAGCCCGCTTCTTTAGTTTTCCTTTTTTTACCATCCTTTCTTTTAGACTACATTTGAATTATTCCATGAACCCTATGTTCATTATCCCCATCGTGTTTACAGATTTGAGATCTATCAAAGTTCCTCTATTTTTTTTTTTTTTTTAATATTAAGAATAGAGGTCAACTTATTCTACGACTTTAAATGGCCTTGATAGTCACTAAATAAAACTGATCGCATTCACAAGGTATTTTAATAAAGCAAGTTCTTTTTGCGTTCTTGTTCATTGTTAGGTTTGAGTTGGCCTAAATAATCTCAATGTGTTTGTTGTTTGAATTTTTGAAATTTGAATTATTTCCTATCCTTTTACAGTTTTCTGATATCCTTTTATGTATTTTTATTTATTTGTGATGTTTGTTGAAGTAAATTTCTCGAACAAATACTTAGCAATGTCGGGATATAGTAGGAGGTTTTTTCCTGGTTTTTCCATAATTTTACTATGGAATCACTATCAGAAATTTTACTGTCTTCATTCCCATGTGTTTGTCGTTTTACAACAATTACATGCCATGATTTTTTTTCTGACGGATATTCTCAGTTTAAAGTGGATTTCATGTAAGTCGAACTGAACTATCGTAGAATATTTCGTCCCCAGAGCGCAACTCAACAATATTGGCAATATCATTTTAAAGTCGTCTACTTTAAAAGCATAATGTAATTCTGAATTTCAATATAAATGATCAATAAAATTAAATATTAGAAAATTTTTCCACTACGTAACAAAAAACAAAATTTGTTTAATTTTACTGTTTGTATATTTGTGAAACCGATGTCACGCAAGTGGAAATTGAAACGTCAATAAAACGTATTTATCTTTAATTGTGGCTTATTCCCAGTTTAATAGTAATTTAATTACAATGCCACAAGAAAATAGCTTCAGAACAATATGAATATTTGAGTCCAGTTTCATAAAAAGTTTAGAGGTTGTGGTTTTAATTCTAGTACAATTCTGGGTAGACCCATTTCTAAGCCCTTCAGACACTTAGAACTCCGAGAGCAGGTTTATTGTATCAGTCCCATGCATAGAGTATCTTCTTATTCAACCCAGTGCTGAAGAGGCACTTTAATCACATGTTTGGATTAAGTGGACGAGTTCTATTTTGCAACGACATCGGCCCGCTAGTTCCACTCTACACCTCAAAACAACTAAGGTCCTTTTGCATAGCTAACGCGGAATGCTTCAAGGCTATTGAGCCTTGTAGAAGTTGAGAGTAGTGCTCTCCAACCATTGTTCTTTTATCTTTTTCAAAATAGCCAGGCAGCAAAATTCTTTTTGCATTTCAAAATGTTGTTCTAGTCCTTGCATTCTTTGGAGCTGGTGATGTTGGATTCCAGGTATGTATTTTGTGAATATGATACAATTTCCCCTACAGTGATTTATTAGGTTGTTCAATCAACTATACTGTTTGATAAGAAAAACACAATTTCAGAGTTTGAAAGACATTTTATTATACAGTATTATTTCCCTGAATTTCAATACACTTTTTCCAGCAATATTCGAATTTATAGATTTATAATTTATACATGACAGATTTTTGTGATGACAGCCAGAAGTCAGAGGGTATTAAATCCGGGATATACAGTGGATGTTATAACTCGGTGATTTTCGCAATTGTTTTTTGAGTTATGTAAAACAACGCGTTGTCTTTCACACAGTTTTATATTCATCCAAGAGAAAAATTCCTTTAGCGTTTAAAAAACTCTCTTGGCAGATTTTTTGACCATCACTCGCTTCAGAACTGAAATATTTAGTTCACACCACTTCTTAGCTTCTCATTTAGCAAATACCTATCCATGACTTGATACTTGATGACATGATGTGTAAAATCCTTTCTAAAAAGCACAAATGCTGTTAAAAAAAACGCAATCTAACATATTTTGGTTACATTGTGCACATAGCTTCTTCAAATCCAAAACATTAGCCAAAATATTGCTCACAATGCCTAATGAGATCCCAGAGCTTCTACTAAATCTCTTTTTGTTAATCAACAATCTTCCAAAACCATCATAGATAATTTTTAAACTAAGTTGTTTCTTCGATAGTGATTGCATTGCATTGCTGATACCAGATTACTTCATGTTCAAAAGTGGACTAGTTTTCTGTATCTCTTGATAAGTGATAAATTTGAATCTAAGTATGCACTTTAACTATTTATGTTAACAATTCTTCTTAGAACAGAACTATGTGCCAAACTTTATATCAATTTTAATTTTAAGATCGTCGCTGATTATATATATGAGAGTAAAGTAAAAAGTTCTCGGCTTATTTAAAAAAAAAGGAGCCGCCGCCGCTAATACAATACAAAGTTGACTTCCAAGATAAAAATTATAAAAGGTCTTTTTCTGCCCCTATGATGATCAACTTAATTCGAGTTCCAGAACACTCGGCTTTGGAAGGTAATGAACAAGGCAACGTTATTTCTAAATAAAGGTCATCGACAGTGTTACTGAGATAAGGACCAGTCATTGAAGTGCTCTTTAAGTACTTAACGAAGTAGGCTATTCCAGTTTCCAGGCCTAGATGTTGTCTAGCAGAGGCAGCAAGTCTTTGGTCTTGCTCCCTCTTGCTTGCAGCAAGTCTTGAAACAAATCAAGAAGATCTTTTTAAAAAGTGGGGTTTCATAATTTTTCATAACCGAATTTATAATTTAAAAAAATTGATGATTATATTATATTTTCTATTTATATAATTTGTCTGATAACAATCTAGACTGAGAACTTTTTACTGCGCCTACAGTTCGGCAAATTTCCTTTTGTATCTTATGACGGCACCACACTTAGCTGTGTTATGCGTTATGCGCCACGCCATATTCGCTCGCATAAGCAATTTGGAGGGTGCATTCGTCAATTATTTGCCTTATTCGCACATATAAACAAATACCCGCATAGCAAATACGCCTATTCGTCCACTTGTCGGTTTTTTGACACACCTAAAAGAGCAGAAATAAGCCGAATGTATGTGTAGACTGTCCACACTCTAGCACATAAACCATTCATTCGACAAATGTGTTTGTTTATATACAAGTATCGTTACCTATTACGCTTGGATTTGTGGTGTACCTACTGTAAAATGGAGTGGACAAATGAAAAGATAACGAGATTTCTGGATTTATACCAGATGCAGACTTGATTACATGACACAAGTATTGGTAAACTGCAGT